ATTTGCTGCGGCTGGTATCACTATCACATCACGCATTATTATCTCGTGGACTGTACAATGTACATACGGTAGGATTGGGTAGGGTCTGCCTTGTTCTTTGTGCTTTTATTTTTGACAGGTTTGAGCTATGGTGTTGGTTATTTGGCTATTTAGTACCTACCCAAGGGTCTACTGTGCAGTAGATACTCATAGCGAGATTTTCCGCGTGTCTATACTGTACTATAGACCTTGCTGACAAGGTGAAGGCAAGGACAGGCCGTCTACTATTTTCACGGATACTTAGCCTACTGGGTACTGGCTACTAGTCAAGAGAGATAGTACTAAATACTTCATATTTCTTATTCTCATTCATGCGACATGTTCAGAGACTGGGTATCATCGGATCGTATCCAAAGTCCAAAGGCCACGGGGCAGGGGAACGAAAAACGAATAACGAAAAGAAAATAGCAATAATGAAAAAGAAGGGGGGCGGAGGGGGAAGGGGAGGGGTAGAAACGTCTCCAAGACATCTATATCCGTCAACTACAATCCCAGCAGAATCGCGCCATTTATAGCACGTTCGCCAAAACTAAACGTGGATAAAGTCCTGTTGGTTCGACGTCTCGCCACTATCCACGCCACCAAGTAACTCTTCCGGCTCATCATCGAACTCATCCGAGTCAACATCATCTGAATCAATCTCATCATAATCCTCTTCCTCGCTAGAAGGGTCAGAATCCTCGTCCATGCGATCACGATCTGCGTTCTGCTCAGCCTTCGCGGCCGCAGCCTTGCGAATCTGGCCCGCGCGATCAACATGGGGCAACTTGCACCGTTTCTTGTGGCACACGCCGGAGTTCGCGTAGTCTGGACACTCGTGCACGTGGCGCTCGGCGCACTCGGCGCCCTTTTCGCAGTATCCTAGCGTTGCGAAGGCGCGGCAGACTGGGGCTCCGGGGGTTACGCGGATATGCGCATAGCGGCAGGAAGGATTGGAGCAACGGCCTCTAAGGAAATGCATACAGAAGGGGGAGCGGTGGGGCGAGGGCTCATGGGAGAGATCACAGCTATTACCTGCTGGGCATTCACCTGTTTGGAGGAAATCCTTGCAGATGGCCACTTTGCTAGGGTCGTGAGTGTATAGGCATGAAGGGCCTTTGTAGCAGGTGCCTAGTTGTTGAGAAGGTGAGGTGGGTTAGTAAATTCAATTCAGCGACAAGGTGGTTGGGGTTGGGTTGGCGGAGTGAGTGGTCCGTCGGAATATAAGATACCGGTCGTTGTGAATCTCTTGCACAGGTCGTCCCGCTTCTTCGCGGGGTTCGGGGTTCTATGTTTGTGTTAGTGGGGTGTTGTTGTGTCGGGATCTCGTAGGTTTGAGCTGGTGGTCTCACTTTTTCGAAGTCACTGCGCCGAGACGGTGTAGGTTGCCGTTTTTGCTTCGGACAAAGGCTACACCCGCGACAGTGACTCGCTTCGGGGTGGTGTTTGCGGTGTTCGGATCATCTATTATGGGTAAGCCAGTTATGGGCGAGAGGATTTCATGATCCCACGTACTTGACATCCGAATCAGCTTGCTGCCACCGCGCGCAATCTTAAAGGGAACCTCGTTGACGAGAATCTGGTGGGCGGCGGGCTGCGCAGTCGCGGGGACCGATGGGGCACCCGCGGGTACAGTGCCTTGGGCATAGCGAAGCACCTTCGTTTGTTCACGCTCAGCTCGTCTCAAAGCCTTCACCTTTCGAGTCTCTTCCATAGCCTTGGCTCTGGCTTGAGTTTCTTTGTCATAGACCGCGGAGTTGATCAGTTGCATGTGGCGATCACGTTTAGCAACCCACCCATTAGATGTTGTTGCGGGGCGCGTATCGCCATCATTGTCGCTTGCAGGGCCTGGCGAGGACGTTGGAGTTCCGTTTGAGCTAGGAGCATTGTTCAAAACCAGCGTACGGTGTCGATGCGGAGCTACTGGGCGACGGCCTCTGCCTCGAGAGTAAGGAGCCCACCCCGCGTGGGAAGGGGCATGACGCGAGACATGCTGGGGCTGGTAGGAAGAGGCAGGGTACGGCTGAGATGACTGATTCTTGTGCTGATTGATACGGCCTGCACCAACAGTGAGTACGTGCTTATGTTGTCGAAGTGAACCGAGCGAGGGCTTACCTGCGAGCTGACCGATGCGGGCCAGCAAATCCTCGTTCTCTGTCATGGTGTGCTAGAGTTAGGGGGGGTATTAGTGAGCACGAAGTAAACGAAGAAGAAAAGCTGAAGCTGAAGCTTGCGAGTATACAAGCGAACAGCGAAAAAAAAACCAAGTGAAAGCTGGAGGTGAAGTGGTCTGGCAAAGTTAAGAGTCAAGAGTCAGCCTGCCTTGGCAGTGACGACTCGCGCTTTCCAGCCGCCGGTGGCGTAAATATCACGTGACCCTGGCGCATAGAAGCGACGACGAGAACACTGTAGGAACTTGGAAGATCAGGACATTTAATGGAATTTGATTTACATTAATGATGCGTGCCTTGAGTTAATTAGCTGTCTCACTTCCATTGAGACTTTTGAAGATCTTCCAAGACTGTACGTCTTGTAGCTATATCTCGAAATATACTACTAGCAGTACTAGTTACGAAGCGGGATGTTTCCAAGGGTTACTACTATGACTAATTGCTAGTACTATTCATGGATTACAGTACGAGAATTCCTCCTAAACCTAGTAGGTACTCTACTGATAGCACAAGGGGTGGTTAAATACCGGAGTACGTTGACCATATATGTATTAAGCTATGTATAGCCCCTCTAATCTAGTACAACGATGACTCCTTCAGACATTTTCGAACTGCACATCATCATGGTCCGTAACCATCCCAGAAGGATCATCATCCGAGTCAAAGTTATCCCCGGGAGCCATCTCAGCCTTGACCGCATGGGGCATCTGGGCATAGTTGGTCTGCTGCGCTTCCGGCTTCAACTCCCACGTCATGGCAAAGTCACCAGACTTGACCAGATGTGCGACCATCTCCAGGGTCTGTTTGAGATAAGCCTCAGGCTGCATGAGCTTGGCCTTGAGCGCCTTAAAAGGCCAGTACTGGTACTCGCGGAAGCATCCAAAGATCCTGTCCAGCAGCTCGTTTTGAGGCATACGCGTGTACTTGTTTTCCTGGGCCTTGGCCTTGGATGGTTTTGTTTGTTGCTGGAGGAATGATGTCAGCTGGGATAATTCGGGAAAGAAAAGAAATGGACAATACGTACCACGAATGCACCCTGGGCCGTGGGGAGAAGATGGCGCTCCTGTAAGATCTTGTTGGGGAGGTTCTTGATGAACATGGTTTCTTTCTTCGGCTTGAGAGCCTCCAGGGCTCGCTTTTCTGAGATCAGTCGGAACTCCTCGTTCTCCACTGGAAGACAGTTGAACTCCTGGCTGGCCTGTCCGACAAGGGCAGTGTGTTCTGAATGGTTTGGTTAGAATGGGTTTCCGGGGAGGATGGCTGGAAACAACCGGGGTCGAATACATACTGGGTATGGTCTTGCGCACATAGGGCTCCCATCGTTTGCCTTGCTCCCTCCTCCGTGCGTCGCGCTTCTGAGCTTCATAAAGGGCAGATCGTGTCTCTCCAAAGGTGGCCATGCGATTCTCCACGCCGGGGATGTCCTTCTCCGTGAAGACATAGGTATTTTGAGTCATGTGTGAGGCATTTGTGGAAGTGACGGTTTGTTGTTGGAGGGTATAATCTTTGGGAATTTCGCGGTTGTCTGGTCGATCGTGGAGTCGCAAGCTAACCTTTAATGCGGAGAATAGAGCTTAGTAAAAGATCGCGGTATAACGAAAAGGGAGAAAAAGATCAGATGTGTGGCTCACCCGCTTGATATCATTTGGGTCTGTAGGGTTTTGTTCTATCCTCATTGTTCCAACCTCAATCTCTTCGTCGTCGTCAAGATGCGCCCAGTTCTCCCAAAGCTGTCGGGGAAGGCGTGAGATCCATACGCTCTGGCCAGCTAGGGAGAAGTCGAGATCGCCAGCGTCTTCGTAGAGGTCCTCGTCATCGATGTCGGCTAGAACAGTATCCTTGGAGTCGGGGTCTTGTTTGATGTACATGGCATCCGGGTCTTGCTTGACCTGGGCCATAATGGATATGGAATGGGTGAGGATTGGGTGACGAAAGAGAGGCGGGTTAAACTTCTTGGCGAGGAGGAAGAGCGGTGATATGCGACTGCGATCGAAGAATTGACGGGGGTGCAGTTAGTGTTCGCGGAGAAAGGTGGTGGTTGATAGATGGGATGGACAATGAAGATCCGAAGTGACGGCGCGCCACTTGCGGGCAGCTTCCCCGAACAGGCAGCGAGTAGACTAAAGTGGAAGGCGGTGGCGGACGGTACCCCAGTAATTTTTCGAACTTGAAGTCTTCCGCAATCCGCAATCCTGCAAACTAAGGTCATTTCAAGTTTAACTTGATATACACCAGTTGTCGGCTGTTTTCACTGGCAATGGTTGTTTACGAGGACATACAAATACTGCTCTTTGACTCTACTCCGTCTATATCTTGCGGAGTAGCAGAGGGTGCTGCTCAGCACACTAACCCACCTTAATCCTTGAGTCCAAAAGTGGAGGGAATACCAAGAAGTATAGCAAATAAGGCAGCTCAGATCTCTAAGCTCTTTGCCCCTATGGCCTAGTGGTATGGCATCGTTCTTATGTTGTTTATCCTTTCTTTGAGAGGAAGCAATATGAACTTGGCTAGCGAAGTGCCCCGGTTCGATCCCGGGTGGGGGCATTCTTTTTGCTCATATATATTACACTGTGTAGTGTAGTAATTATATTTGGATGCCAGTTTAATTTACCCACGCTATTTAATCTTTTTCTATAATTTGTCTGCTCATTAGTATATATCGAGCACTATTCCCATGCCGTACCATTTCTAGTACTTTGATGGCGGCCGCCTGGCAGGACCACCATAGCTCCACCTCGCCAGCTCCGCCAGCTTAACCTTCCGACTTCACCTTCACCTCCCCGCATTCCTCTCCCCTCCTCACAGCTCGCCATGGCCTCACAAAAAGTCACATCCGCCCTTTCGGCCATCGAACAAAATCCCCACCAGCCCACAAAGCTCCAGCAATACAATGACCTCCTCAATGATATCGTGGCCAGCTCCTCCGGCGACGAGCTCGCGCAAGATATAGTCTACTACCTAGACTCCATCCTGAACGAAGACGTCAGTATTGTCGCCGCTCGACCCCTCCTCGACTCCTTCGTCGCCGTCCTACGAAAGTTCGACTCCGAAGTCACAATCAAAGTCGGTCAACACGCCGTCACCCTCCTCCAGTCGCGAGCCACATCCGTCGAAGAACAAGACTCCCAGATCCGCGAGATCCTCGCCGAAGCATACGAGGCCGAGGAGGAATACACAGCCGCCGCGCGCGCATTGCAGGGAATAAACATCGACAGCTCCCAGCGACTCGTCTCCGACGCAGCCAAGGCCCGCCTTTGGATCCGCATCGTACGATATTACCTAGAAGATGACGATACCACCAATGCCGAGGCCGTCTTGAACCGCATCAAGAACCTACCCAGCAAGATCGAAGACCACGACGCCAAACTCTACTTCCAGCTCTCGCAGGCTCGCATTCTCGACGCCCGTCGGCGTTTCCTGGACGCTGCGCAGGAATACTTTAACGTGAGCTTGGCTTCTGGCGTGGATGAGGGTGATCGATTGACGGCGCTGTCAGCTGCTATCCGCTGCGCAGTCCTGGCTCCGGCCGGGCCTCAACGGTCGCGATCACTTTCCCGTCTTTACAAGGATGACCGGACGCCTTCGGTTGACGAGTTTTCGATTCTGGAGAAGATGTTCCTTGATCGATTGCTTAATGCGGACGAAGTTGCTGCTTTTGCGAAGAAGCTTGCTCCCCACCAGCTCGCTGTCACCGCGGATGGCACAACCGTCCTCGATAAGGCGGTTATTGAACACAATCTCGTCGCTGCCAGCAAGCTCTATGAGAATATCAAGATTGATGCCCTTGGAGCGATCCTTGGCCTGCAAGATTCTACCGACTTTTCCGCCGGCGAGAAGGCGGAGGCTTATGCTGCTCGTATGGTGGAGCAGGGTCGACTACGTGGTCAGATTGACCAGATTGAGGGTGTTATCTCCTTCGAGACTGAAATTGGTGGTGGCTCAAAGACCTCGACAAGCTCTTGTCTTCGCCAGTGGGATCTTGGTGTGCAAGAGCTCGCTGAAGATGTAGAACGTGTGGCTACTAGTATATCTGACCAATTTCCGGTACGCATACCCCTCCCAGTAAACCTTTCCCCGAGTCTGTGCTAACATTCTGTTAAGGATTTCTCTACAAGTCAGATGGTGCATTGAGAAGGCGAAAACTTAATGAATATCTACGAATTGATGCCCACCATACATCCATATTATTTACTCGTATTCGTCAATTGTAGACTTGAATGGGAATCAACTCATTTGTTTTCTATATTCAACTTCAAAATAGTCCGTATTAAACACTGTGAATATCACCCCCCTCCTTCGCAGCAACACCCATGGCCTCCGCATCCGTCCGATAAGCCTTGAATTTCCTCGCAGGAACCTTCTTCATAAACATCTCATCCAACTCGCCATACGTCCTCCCCGCAGTCTCTGGCTGCCAGAACCAAAGATAAACCAAAGAAATGACACAAAGACCGCCAAAAATGAACGACACCTTCGCACCCAGATTCGCTTCATCGGGATTAAACAGATAAGGCAGAACAAACGACCACATCGTATACAGCGCATTCTGCAGCGCCAACCCGATCGCAATCGTCTTGATACGCAGTCTGGACGTAGAAACCTCGGCTAGAATCGTATATCCCGCCGCACCGATGGTCAGGTTATACCACCAGCAGTAAACCAAGATAAGCGCGACAGTTCCTTTGATAGCGCCGGCTGAATTCGAGCTCGAAGTATCAGAACCAACGACTGCAAGACCACCAGTGACCATCAAAATGGCCGTGAGAATGCCCAATCCGTAGACCATAACATTCCTCCGTCCAACGCGATCAATCACAAAATAAGACATAATATTACCAATCAGCGAAAGAATCTGCTGAACAATCTGCAACTGAAAGCTCATTTCCGTACTATACCCAGCCAACTGCATATAATACGTCGAATAACCAGCAGTGAAAACCACACCCGACAACGCCTGGATGGTGATAGGCATAATCGAAACGATCGTACGTCGTAAATTCGACCGCCGGAAACATTCGAGATATGTGACTCCTTCTGTTTCGTGTCGGATCTCGTCTAAAGTATTCTTTATCAGGGCGATTTTCTTCTGCGTTTCTTCGGCTGTGTAGCCTAGTCTTTGGAGTGACTTTTGCGCTTTTTCGTCGCGGCCTTTGGAGATCAACCACCATGGTGACTCGGGCATGAAGGGGATGAAGGCGAGTGCGATGGCTGCGTAGCCGTATTGTGCTACGAAGACGGCGCGATAGGCCCACCGGTTCGTGTAGACTCCGGTCCAGTTGGTTATTAGGGCTACTACCAGTGGACCTATAACGTAGGCCAGAGCAGTGAGGCAGGTGAGGACACCGCGGAGGGCGAGAGGAGAGATCTGTGGGAGGAAGTATAAGCATAAGCACGGTGAGAATTTGAAAGAATATCCCTTTCCCCCGCGCCACCTCAGGCTTGGAATTGAATTCAATTCCTCCAAAGAAACTGTAATGAAACTCACCTCGCCAATATAAGTAATAGGCACCGAAGCAAGCGCACCAACAGCAAACCCATTCAAAAACTTCCCCCCAAAAAACATTTCATTCGTCGTAGCCCGAAACTCCAACGTAACAGCCGCAACACTAATCAACAACGAAACAAAGATCGTAATCTTCCGCCCAATAGTATCAGCAACCTGACCCGAGCACAAAGCGCCCACAACAGCAGAAGCCACAGGAGCCCCCGCAAACGCGGATTGCCATTTAGCCTCCAGTACCCAGCTGCCTTCATAATAGTGGCCGAAGTCCTTGCGGAATTCGGGGATTCCGGTCACGTTTCCTGAGGCTTGGTTTTCGAAACTGACGAGGAGGATGCACCATACGGCGTACACGCACCAGGTGAATGTCCATGGGTATTTCTTGAGGGATTGCCATTTGGTTAGAGCGTGGTCTTCTTGGTTGGCTATGTGGCCTAGTTGGTGGGTTTCTGTGTCTTCGATGAAATCTGTGCTTGGTTTTTCTAGGATGTTGTCGTTCATTTTGGTTGCCATTGTATGTGTTGTGGGGGAGAGAATGATAGATGAAACAGGGTGAGAGGGTATCAATGATGATCAGCTGTCGCTAGCCCCCGTTGGTATGTGGAAATAAAACAGAAGAGGAAATTATGAACAGCAAGCAGTAATAAAGGGGCAGGCACTGCCACGAAAGTCGGCTCTGGTCAGGGCGATAGAAGTCTGTTTCAGCGAACGAGGGGGTTTTATGTAGTTTCGGCTCGGGTCGAACCATTAACAGTACGGTGATGCGATGCAATAGGATAAGATGGGACTAGCCAGACTCTGTGCCGCGTCGTGCAGCATTGTCCCGGTCTGCCGTTGCCACGAGGTGTGGTGTGGTGCGGTGCGGAGTGCAGTAGGGAAAGTCTAAAACCAAACGCCTAAAAATGCCGAATTTCGGCTTGAAAGGAATGACTCAAGCAAGCAAGCAATTAATCTAATCAAACCCCAAGATAAAGCTTAATCCCTACCGGCTACATTCAAGTATTCGATCATTTGTTCCAACAGAGTATATACTTACTGACTGCAAAGTTGACATTTGATTTAATTGATAGTTACTTGCATTCGCGTGTGGAAGTTCATATTTGGTCCCACATGCGCAATGTGGGAATCCGGGGTTGAGTCTGGGGTTGATCGGGGGGGATTTCCCGATCCTAGTCTGGCCCCGGCTGGAGCGGATGATCGTATGGACAATCCCCCGAGGTTCTACCGCGAGAAAGGCAATCTTTCCCACAAAGAGGCGGGCCCCGGGTTTAGGCGGTTATGCTCCTAGTTTCGGTCTTGTTGGCCAGGAGCCACCAGTTGTGGCTCTATATGGATCTTGTGGAGATGCGCGAGTGATCCGGGATGGCAACAATAACCACCATATTCTGGTAGTGAAGTGTGTAGCTACCTCCCAGGTGTAAAAATAAGGCTAAAGGGTAGATTTGCTGTAAGGTCATCTCAGTCCTTGAATCCAACAATTATTGTTATCAACGAGGTAAACCAGTGTATCTCTTTGTCAATACTTAGTCTCGTCTAAGATCTCCCTCCAGCCCCAAGCATCAGATCGAGGGTAGAGATTGCGCGTACGGTTCCCTCTTTTATCCTTCGACATAAAAATCACATCTTATCTGGGACATTTGAGCCGAATTTACCTCCTTTAGTCCCGATCATACATGAGTATTGTGGCTGTCGTGCCCAGGGCAAGGTGACTCTAACAGTGGCCATTCCAGAAAACCCACCTAGAATTATCTGATGATGATAAAAGAGAACGCCATCGAAGACAAATCATTAACGACAAATGAAACCCCCCCGAATCTTAATGCCCAAACCCGTTGCCGGCTAAACTTCGGCTGGGTCGTACCATGCGGGGCGAAAGGCATCGGTATGGAATATCCCGAGCATCCTGGACAAACTGCCTTTCGTCCCTCCACCCTCGCCCCAGCGTCAAGTTATGATGTTGGAAATCCTTCTTGCAAGTTCTTCTACCCACAGAGAGTAGGAATTCGAAGTCGTCACCATGTCAGCACAACCCACCATAACAGCCATCTCTTTCGAGCAACACGCCAGCGGACGCGGCATCGGGATCGCATCACCCCGCATCTCATGGAAATTCGCCGCTGACAACAACACAATCCAGAACTGGGAACAGAAAGCCTACGACTTAGAGATCCGTCATGGACCAATCACAGAAGACTATCACGTTGAATCCGACAACTCTCTACTCGTCCCCTGGCCCAGCCAGCCCCTCCAGTCTCGCGAGATAGTTCAAATTCGCATTCGCTCGTATGGTGGCTCCACCACCGAACCAACGGCATGGTCGAAATGGAAAACCCTTGAATGCGGTCTTCTGCATCGAGAAGACTGGAAAGCTCATGCCATCACCTCTCCCACCAAGCAAGTAGTAGATGGCCCGTTGCGGCCTCTGCGCTTTAGAAAGACATTCCACGTCCCTTCGACCGAATTGAAACGTGCCAGATTGTATATTACGAGTCTGGGCGTATTCCAGGCTTATATCAATGGCGCGCCTGTTGGTGATCATTTTCTCGCGCCTGGATGGACAAGTTATCACCACCGGCTGAACTATGAAGTTTTTGATATCGCGCCGCTACTCCGCGAGGGGAAGAATGTCATTTCAGTCGAGGTTGCGGAAGGGTGGTATGCTACTCGCCTTGGATTCCACGGTGGACGACGATTTATCTATGGCGATGAGATGGCTTTGATCGCGCAGGTGGAGATTGAATCTGACAGCAGCGAAGAAATCATTCTGTCAGATCTTTCGTGGAAAAGTCATACCTCGGCACTTATATCCAGCGAGATCTACGACGGCGAGGTATACGATACCCGTGAAGAAGAAGGAGATGACTGGGATTGGACAACCACATCCTTCAAAGACGAAACCTGGTCCAGCGTCCGCAAAACCGCATTCCCAAAGACAAACCTCGTAGCTCCAAATGCATCACCCGTCCGCGTAACCCAGACAATAAACCCAATCCAAATAATCACCACACCATCAGGAGCAACAATTGTCGACTTTGGCCAAAATCTCGTTGGCCGCATCCACATCCCCTCCCTCCTCACACCACCAGATACACGCATAACACTCACCCACGCAGAAGTCCTCGAAAACAACGAACTAGCAACTCGACCCCTCCGCGACGCAAAATGCACAGACACAATTATTTCCGCGGGCAAGGAACTCAAAAATTGGAAACCACGCTTCACATTCCACGGCTTCCGCTACGTGCAAATATCAAATTGGATTCCGACCTTATCCAATATTCACGCAGAGGTCCTACACACCGACCTCCCCGCAACGGGAACATTCAAAAGCTCGCACGAAATGATAAATAAACTCCACGAAAACGCTACGTGGAGTATGCGCGGTAATTTCCTCTCTATCCCGACGGATTGTCCCCAGCGTGACGAGCGTTTGGGTTGGACGGGCGATATTCAGATTTTCGCGCCTTCCGCTTCTTTCTTATATAACACTGCCGGAATGTTGGGGGATTGGTTGGAAGATCTCGCTGCTGAACAACTCTCCTCTGCTACCGGGATCCCGCCATTCGTGGTGCCAAATGTTATTCCGGAATCGCTTTGGCCGGTTTTTCCCCAGGCTGTTTGGGACGATGTTACAGTTCTTTTGCCTTGGACGTTATATCAGAGTTATGGGGATACGGAAATTCTTCGACGCCAGTATACGAGTATGGTTGCTTGGGTTGATCGGGGTGTTAGACGTGGACCGGATCGATTGTGGGATGATGAGCTCTTTCAACTTGGCGATTGGCTTGATCCTACGGCTCCGCCTGAGCAGCCGGGTAATTCGAGGACGGATGGGACGTTTGTTGCGGATGCTTATTTGGTGCATGTTACGAAGGTGTTGGGACTTATTAGCGGAGTCTTGGAGGAGAGTGATAATGCCTCGCGGTATGAAAGGGAGTATCGCAGTCTCAAAGCGCGATTTCAAGAAAAGTATGTCACGGCGGAGGGGTATTTGGTTGGTGATACGCAGACAGCGCTTGCACTGGTGATATTCTTCGATTTACTGGACTCGCCGACGCAAATTGCCCATGCGGGAGCGAGACTGGCGAGATTGGTTCGGAAGGCCAAGTTTCAGGTCTCGACGGGGTTTGCGGGGACGCCGATTATTACGCATGCGCTTTGTAAAGTTGGTTATGTGCAGTTGGCGTATCGGATGTTGTTGGAAAAAACTTGTCCTTCTTGGATGTTTCCTATTACGATGGGTGCCACGACTATTTGGGAGAGGTGGGATAGTATGCGGGCTGATGGGAGTGTTAATCCGGGTGAAATGACGAGCTTTAATCATTATGCGCTTGGGTCGATAGTTAATTGGTTGCATAAGGATGTTGCTGGTGTGAGCTTGCTCGAACCGGGTTGGAAGAGGGTTCTTGTTAAGCCTTTGCCTGGGGGGTACCGTTACCAGTGCCGAGGTGAGGTATGAGACTGCTTTTGGAGAATTGGAGTGTCGGTGGGCTCTTCATGGGGATTTGTTTCAGCTGAGTCTTTTTGTGCCGCCGAATTCCTCGGCCGATGTTGTTTTGCCTGGCAGTGATGCTGTGAAGAGGGTGGGGTCTGGGAGCTATGCATTTGGGACCAAGTTCAATAGTGGGGTTGGGTGGCCTCCTAAGTCTTTGGTGCCGCCTATGTTTGAGTCTGAGGATACTTTCGTCTGATCAGGCTTGACTGCTGGATATAGAAACGGGTACGGTGCTCAGAAATATTTGTCTATCGAATTTAATTGTTTGATTGGATAATAGAAATATTCGAGTCTTTGAAAATGAATGGAAGCATGATACGGTTGTAGTTTCAATGAATGAAAGATCATGGTAGTGTAGAATGGTTAACAAATGCATGGTAGCGCAATGGTTGGGTATGTTTCTCGTGGCTGGGGTATTCAGTAGCCCGTCAGCCATTGAGCGGCATAGTAAGATCGCCGGTGAAACCGAAGCTACCGGCAAGACGAGGCCGGGCTTGGGCAAAGCGTTCGGAATTTCCTATATCATAGGCTTCAAGCTGGGTTGGGCTTAAAGAATTGGAGTATCCGGGGTATCCAAGCCGAATTGTTGTATTCCGTAGAAGTACAGTGGTCATTCCAAAGAAGAATGAGGGTCATCACATCGTATCACATAGCATAAGCCGGCCTAGTAGACTTTGCAGACTCAGCAATCAGACCGTCCTCAACGGGTGAGCGTGGTTCTCGAGTTGTTATCAGGGGTAATGGAGATATCAGTCTGAACACTGATACCCAGAGGCTGCGTCTGGAGATTGTCGCCCAAGAACGTGCCCTTGGTGGCACTAGCACACCTCTCATATGGCGATTGTGAGCCATACATGGTCGCTTGCATTTTCATATACTCGAGGTCCGGCGAGCGGGGGCTCGACTTGGAGATCCAGTGCGCGTTGCTGCGGTCGGTGTTGATATAGTACGGCTGCTGGCTGTTCTTGGAGCGGTTCTTCAACTTGATGGCAGGGAATAGACCGCGGATGATGGGTAGACAGGAGCAGATCAGTCCAACCGATGGCTCGATGTGTGTCCACAGAGTGGCTTGGTAGACGGTGTAAGTAGGGTCGGTGGGGCTGATCCAGAACAGCACGACGATGCGGTAGATACTAGCGAAGCAGACGAAAGCACCGAGGGCGAAGACACCGTTCAGTGCGAGCTTGTCTTGCCAGCTACGGTGCAGACCCCAAATCATCGGGATTGGGAGGATGAGGATGACAAAGTCCATGACGATGTTGAAGGCTTGGTTGACAATGAAGAAGACGTTCGCATCGAAGCATTTTCCGGGCACACTATGGTCCCAGTAGGCGCGGAGAGGAATACATTGACCGGCGCAGGCGAGGAAGATGCCGAGGCCCCAGGCGCCAATGAGGCAGTTTAGACCGAAGGTAAATTGCTGGAACTTGGGGGTCGTGAAGACGCGGCGGTAGAAGCAGATCAGGGAAATCTTGATACACGGGCAGAGGATGAAGTATGTGAACTGGTTGGCCAGGAAGATCTAAGGTGTGTGAGTGACGGTGCGGCAAAATGGATTACAGTAGAAAAGATTAGTATCTTTGCATACCTTCCAATAGTTCATTAGGGTCTTGGTGTCCAACAAATTGACGTGGGTCCCATTGCCTCCGATCGAACACCCTGGGATTATCAGCCAAGAACGCAGGTACACACATGCACACAGCAAGTGGAACAACTTACACAAGATCAGCTCAATCAACATGGCTATCATCAACACCATAGATAGCAGGGAAAGGTAGTCATCAATGCCAAAGCCCACTCGACGACGGTAGCGAGCCACCATGCGTGCCACCACGGAAATCAGACACAGGGACACCAAGACCGAGACGATCTCAATCATCTGCCATCCTCGTACACTGGGAGCCATGGCTGTAGTAGTATAGTGATGAAAAGTAAAAACCAAACCCCAAGAAAGCGACACAGTCAAAAGTACAATCTAAAGCAAAAGCAAAAGCAGAAAGCACAAGCAAGGGGGAAGTCAGAAAGAGTGAATGACCTGGGGAAAGAAGATCAGCAGGGACAAGTGGACGACCTCCACAGATATACCAAAGCCACGCGAGAATTGATGCACGACAGAAAAGAGAGCCTGAGGAGAGAAGAGAGAGAAAGAGGGTCCGGAGCCAAGAAACCGGGTTTCTCAAGATGCCAGAAACCTTGGTTCGCGCAGACAATAATCGAACAGGTCTACTTTTCAGTTGATTGCGCAGTCCACCTGCACTATGGAGTATTCATCCATCCGGGTCGATCATTTGTCCATATTGAGTGACGGACGCGCATGCGCCCAATTGTTTGGCTCTCGGGATGTGCAATGTGTGTTGGGTCCATCTGGTCCCTCTGGCCACTCTTTTCTTTGGATCTGCCTTTTTCGATGGAGTATGGATAGGCTGATGGGGCCCAGCTCGCGTGCCAAAGCAAGAAAGTGGAGGCCACTATAGTCCCCATTTGCTGGGTGGCGCTGAATGGCGGGTAGCTTAATCGACGCCGACAGCGGCTTATTGGCCGGTTCGCCAGGTGCTAGCGTTGCCTATCAGTACTAGGAAAGGAAGCTGATTTGGAATGACACATGTTTTTGGTTTCCACCGCGGATCGATTTGCTAGAAGGTCCTTGTGAGCGGAAGTCATGGTGGGGGTGTGATTGACACATTGGGAAGGCCGAGCCTGGCGATCTCATCTGATATCTGGGATTGTGTGACTTGAGAGCAGCGGTCTATTGGCTTATTATTTGATGACCTCCGAGGTTTTTCTTTGCCTTAATAACCATAAACTATGGAAAACTATTTGCAAGGCTATTTTGGGTTTAAATTTGTGGCTCTAAATCAGTGCTAAACTCAATCCTTCAACTCGGTATCAATTTACCATGACCACACTCCCCGAGACAATGCTCTCGCAGATCATCAATAGTCCCTCCCAGCCCGTGTGAACGGCGACTATCGAATGCCAAGGGTGCGTCATTTCGGCATTGAAGCGATCGGGCCAGCCATGCATGGAATCTTCCGCAATATCAACTGCCGGGGCCTGAGCACATAATGGGTTGCATTTCATCTAAATTTGGATTTAATACCAGGTGCTACTCCCCAAGTAGAGTACTCCTATTTATGCTCTATGTTCGTCAGGGTCGCAGTGGACTGCCTCAGATAAATCAATTTGGCGTTGTGTCTCCATTGCAAATCTCTTCGGGGTGGGGCACACTATTGACATGCGAATTCTTCAGGGCTCCGCAAGCTCAGATCAACCACTGCTCCTTCAACAAACCCATTGCATCCGGTTGAGGGGGATTGTCCCTGGATTGTCCCTGAAATTGTACATCCTCCGAGGGAGTATTTGGTGGCGTGTTCGTCTTTCTTGAACCCCTTTCCCACAGATATGTACTCATATAAGTGTCAGTGCCTATATACTCCGTACTTCGTCCTCCGGAGAATATCCAGTGGATCGGCGGAGTGGCTTGGTGGCTTGGGTCTAACCGAGGTATTTTCCATGGTTGGCATTCCTGTAAGAGTAATTGCAGCCTACTATAAGCAGGCTCAGGTACTCAGTGATAGAGTATACCGTGACTCTTTGTAGCTCCCCGTATTCCATCTTCCGGAGAAGTATACATAGCAGCTACTTGAACTTATAGGGTATACTGTACTGGTACTATATACTCCCTCGATTAGGGCTGGAAAGATGCCAGTGGAAGCTGAGCAGTGGAGATCAAAAGATCAACCATTTCGAGTTCCCCTCCATGCGGATACATGCTCCGAGCCCTCCATCCTATTCTAGTACTAGTACACTACTACTAGTAACGGAGGGAGAAATTGGAGCCAGTGGGGCAATCATCCAGATCTCCAACTTGAAGCTCCAGCTCGCTGCATCTACTCGGAGTATCTCTTCAAGTTCCCCTCTCCCCTCTCCCCCTATCACCATCAAATAGATACCTCCTAGGTATACCCATAACCATCCACCATGACCACCACCACCACCACCACCAACATCCCCCTCCTTATCAACGGCCAAGAAGAACACACCCCAACCACCTTCCCCGTAATCAGCCCCTACACCAACAAACAATGCTGGACCTCCTCCTCCGCCACCCCACAAGACGCCATCCGCGCCGTCGAAGCAGCCGACGCAGCCTTCCCCTCCTGGTCCCAAACCAAACCCACCGCCAGACGTGATCTCCTCCTCAAAGCGGCCGATCTCCTGGAGCAGCGCCTGGAGGAGAATGCCGAGTACATGCGCACCGAGATGGGCGCTGACGTCGGTGCTTCGCAGGGTTTCGTCGTCCCGCTGGCTATTCGCATGTTGCGCGATGTTGCGGGACGTATTACCTCTATCTGTGGGAGTGTTCCTGTTGTTGAGGCGGAGGGGCAGAGGGCGATGGTTTTTAAGGAGGCTATGGGCGTGATTTTGGGGATTGTTCCTTGGTGAGTTTAATTGCACGGCAGCTATCTATACATCTTACCTCACCTCAACCCACACCACACCACACCGCGCCGCATCACATCAAATCCTCCTACTTCAACTTCAACTAACAAACTTGGAACCCAAAGGAACGCCCCCTACGTCTTCGGCATCCGCAGCGCCGCCTGCGCCCTCGCAGCAGGAAACACCACAATCCTCAAATCCTCCGAACTAACCCCACGCTGCTACTGGGCCATTGGCCGCGCCTTCGAAGACGCCGGTCTCCCAGCCGGATGTCTAAATATTCTACCCTGCCAACCAACCGATGCCGCCGACGTCGTCAACGCCATGATCGAGCACCCGGCGGTCCGCAAGATTAACTTCACCGGCAGCACGGCCGTCGGTCGCAAGATCGCTAGATCCTGCGGACAGAATCTTAAGCCTTGTCTTATGGAGTTGGGTGGAAAGAATAGTTCGATTGTGTGTCAGGATGCGGATTTGGAGACTGCTGTGAATGGTGTTTTGGCTGGTGCTTTTTTGAATGT